ACAAAAGGTTCATCGTAAAGGGTTACGACGGTGCAAGTTTTGACACTGATCGAGATGACTATAAGTCTCAATCTGGATACATAATGAAAGTGGGAGCAATTAGCTAGAGTAGCTCCATGCAGAGCATTGTTGACATACAAATTTGCAAAATACATACGGATCTGAATATGGCAGACCCGTTGACTAAACTTCTCTCACAAGCAAAATATGATCACACCTTACTACTCTTTGGGTGTTAATCACATGGCGATGTGAACTAAGATTACTGACTCTAGTAAACCCTTTGAGTGTTGCTCACATGGCGATGTAAAGTATGGGTGTTAATCACATGGTGATGTGAACTATTGGTGTTAAATCACATGGCGATGTGAACTAGATTATTGACTCTAGTGCAAGTGGGAGACTGAAGGAAATATGCCCTAGAGGCAATAATAAAGTTATCATTTATTTCCTTATTTCATGATAAATGTTTATCATTCATGCTAGAATTGTATTAACCAGAAACTTAGTACATGTGTGGATACATAGGCAAACAGAGTGTCACTAGTATGCCTCTACTTGACTAGCTCGTTGAATCAAAGATGGTTAAGTTTCCTAGCCATAGACATGAGTTGTCATTTGATTAACGGGATCACATCATTAGAGAATGATGTGATTGACTTGAACCATTCCATTAGCTTAGCACTTGATCGTTTAGTATATTGTTATTGCTTTCTTCATGACTTATACATGTTCCTATGACTATGAGATTATGCAACTCCCGGATACCGTAGGAACACTTTGTGTGCTACCAAACGTCACAATGTAACTGGGTGACTATAAAGGTGCTCTACAGGTGTCTCCGATGGTAGTTGTTGAGTTGGCATAGATCGAGATTAGAATTCGTCACTCTGATTGTCGGAGAGGTATCTCTGGGCCCTCTCGGTAATGCACATCACTATAAGCCTTGCAAGCAATGTGACCAATGAGTTAGTTGCGGGATGATGCATTATGGAACGAGTAAAGAGACTTGCCGGTAATGAGATTGAACTAGGTATTGAGATACCAACGATTGAATCTCGGGCAAGTAACATACCGATGATAAAGTGTCAGGACCCCGATTCCAAGTCACATCGATCTAGCCGGTAACACCTCATATCACTTTGCGGCCTCACGCACGGTATTCCCACGGGTGTCGCCTTACCATGGCCCGGGACCGTTTGCGCCTTTTGGCTCACGTATATGATAGTGTCGCTAGCATCCATATGACAGAGAACCTGGGCCAACATGGCTAGTCGTGAACCCAAAGCGGCACCAACCTATGGGGACAGGCATACATGAATCACATCGAGCATGTGGGTCAACAGTATGTGAATCCGGGCTGTAGCACTGGGCTAACAGGACTCCGAAAACCCGTGCTATAGCAGGCTAGGCAGGACTCCCGATGTCACCGCGTGACATTTCCCCGAAGGGACAAACACAAGAACGAAGTGAAACACATGCCGGCCAGTCAGGTGTCCTGAGCAGTAGTGCTGGGCTAGCAGGACTCCGGTGAACCGGGCTGTAGCGGACTACTATGGCTCATGGAAGCACTAGACTACATTTCCCCATAAGAGAGGCTGCCAAGGATAAACAACTAGATTGTCGGATCCCACACATACCAAGCATTTCAATCATACACACAATATGCTTGATATGTGTAAATACAACATGGCATCACAACATAACTCTATGACTCAAGTATTTGTTCATTAGGCTCCGAGGAGCGAGATATTACAAACATGGGTCTCATGACCCAACAATCATAGCATACAAATCAAAGCACATGCGGAAGCTTAACATGTCTGAGTACAGACATCTACAAATGAAAAAGGCTAAGAAGCCGGACTATCCACCAGATCCTGCTGACGGCACAAGATCGTAGCTGAGGTATCAAGCTAAACCTCGAAGTCCACGCGAAACTACTAGCGAGACTGAAGTCTCTCTGCAAAACATAAATTAAGAAAACGTGAGTACAAAAGTACTCAGCAAGACTTACATCAGAACTAGCTACATATGCATCGGCATCAACAAAGGGATGGTGGGGTTTAACTGCAGCAAGCCAGCTTTGACCCAGTGGGTAACCTGAACTATGACTGCAAGCAACTCTTTTGAGGTGGCGCACACGAGTCCACATATTCACCAATCAATACACCACTATGGATCCTCTCCCGTCTACCTACGAGAACGCCATCCATAGCACTCATGCTTATCTTGCGCATTTTAGAGTATCCACTTCCACTTGTCTATGAACTGTTATAGGCAACCCAGAAGTCCTTTACCGCGGACACGGCTATTCGAATAGATCATTTATAACACTGCAGGGGTGTACTTCGTCACACATGTTTCCATCACTTACACTACAAGAAATATGTCAACTTGTGACCACCACTATTGGTCACTGAATGGTCACAAATTTCCATTTGTGACCTTTTTGTGACAAAAAATATAAGGTCAAAAGCTGGCGGTCATAAACTGACTACAGCGACCTTTCTTCAGGAATGGTCGTAGACGTTTATGACCAAAATATGTCCACTGTGGCATTTTGGTCACTAGCAACCTCCGCAGGCCATGTAGGCATCCAGCGTGGCAAGTTGATGTGGCACAAGATTCAGCCCGGTCCAATTCGGTTTTCTACATGGGCCTAGCCCAACAATTCGGCCTTTTTACTATATATTTTCTCTATTAATTTTCTCTAGCTACATGGGCCTGGCCCAACAATTTGGCCTTTTTATTTTCTAGGCATGGCCTTTTGCGGTCCATTTCATTTTTGTTTTCGAGGGTTTTTTGTGGTCCAGTTTTTAGATGGGTCCCAATTGTCAGATTTTTCCTGGCAGTGGAGCCACATTGCTTTTTATCAAAAAACTCATCAGCTTTCCATTTCTCACATTTCTCACAGTACACAAATGACAAATATTTCAAATGAAACAGAACTAGGTACAAAGTATATTTCTCACATTTCTTACAGTTTTACAACTTCACTCGATTCTGCTCCAGAATGTGCTGACTACTACAGAATACAATATAACTAGGTACAAAGTACAACCAAAACACAAGGTAGATTATCCAGATAACCACCATGCTTCATCGTCTTCTCTTCCAAACAAGTGGAATGAGCCCTCTCTTCTCCTAGGCGTGATCCTCCTACAACAGCAGTAATAGCAGGTCAAGAACAACAATAGAGTCATATGAGCTGTTTCTGCTCCTGTTAAACAGAATAACAACAAATCGAGCTAATAAACAAGCTTGAAGCACTGTGGGAAACAAAAGCATAAAAACAAACTAATGTCTCAGGTATAATCATAGGATAAATCTGTGTTGAAGCACTGTGTTTAGATGTATTTTAATTAATTTCAAATGTGTAATGTAAGGTTGTGGATCAGTGTATAAGAACAGCAGTTTGTAAATAACAGGAACAACTTGGTATTACACACAGAGCACTATACAGATTTTAGCTTTTCTATCCAAGTACAAATAGCAAAACATACTAAATTAATTGAGACACTCATAAATACTTGCCGAGAGACTAAGATGAAACGTGCATATATATACTACTGTAAATTAATTGAGACGCTCATGCCAACATGTTCAGATTGAAATGCACTAACAAGTAGAAACGTCAAGAGATCTATGCTTGGAATCACAACCAACCAATACTTCATTAACAGGTCACACTGAGGATGAAAAGAAAAAGAGACAAAAACACAATAGATATAACTTCACATCCTGAGGCAGCACCAACAATGCCTAATTCCGGGACAAAACTATTAACTAGGGAACAACTGCAATAATAAAAAACAGGGAAGCAAAACTAGAGGAGTGAAATCTCTGTATATGAGGTCAGGAAAAGTAAAACTCAACATACAGACATAGAGTAGATGCAGACTATATCAAAAACTTAAGCAAGCAAAAACCCATCTTTCCACATTCGTGTATCTCAGCAGAAAAAATGTGTAACTCACTTCTGAATGGGCTGCACTAGCTACGGTTTCTCCAGTTCAACACAACATACCACACTCATGCTAACATATATTCAGGTGGAAATTCAGTGTGACATGAAACAACATGCTTGCACTAACAAGTACTACTAATGTCTAGAACTACAACATGCTTGGAATCACAACCAACCAAATGCAAGTCAATACTTCATTAACCAAGCAAGATTATTTCAGTTGATTATATTTGACAGATCTAGCACATAGATGTTTGATACAGAAATTAGTAATATGGGAATCAGTAAGGTCCTCTCTTAGTGCTATGGGGATTAAGAGCATGCACACGGAAAGCTAATTGGGAAAAAAACTTGCTGGTCTTATACAGCTCAGTTATATATGCACGACTCGCAGCTCTTGACATGATACTAAGAGAGAACATCATAGAAACTCAAGCAGATCCTAATATAAAGCTACTCAGTTGCTAGCAAGATGAATCAACAAGAACTCTACTTCAGCAACAAAGTGAGCAGAAGCACTACTTCAAGATGGCAGGCGTTGATACCCTATTGCACATAACTGGAGAAAGAAAGACTCTTCCCACGTGCCCAGTCAAGGGACATTGACAAGAATAATTAGGTTTCAGTAGGCTGCCAGAGCACAACAAGTAAAGCCCAGGCAAGGTCTCCCCGCCCAAACTAGTAATCCCAGGATCATAAGGAACGGTTCTTGCATTCCATAATCCACAGAAGAATAATTACACAGGCCCAAGCTCTAAACGCAATTGATCCAAGTTTGCACCCCTTGTGCAGATCTAAAATCATTTGCCAGACCTCACCAGAGCATTACGCAAACCAAATTTACACTAGGAATTCCCAAGGTGTCCATCAAGAGATGAAACAAAAGGAGGAGGACTCATTGGGTCGTCCTGTTCAACGCCCCTACCCCTGAACAAGAGGGCTCTCGTTCTTGTTACAGGCCACCCGCTCAAAGATATACTACGTACTCCATGGATCTCTAGATAACAATCCAAGCAGGAGGAGGAGGAGGTTAATCGGGACTGACCGCGGCGTGGGGCTCGAAGGGGTGGTCCTCCTCGAGGTTGGCGACAAGGGAGGCGATGTCGTGGTCCTTGTAGCAGTAGGGGCAGGCAAAGTCGGGCCAGCCCATGTTCTCGTCGCCGTCCATGTCCAGCTCGTCCATCCCCGCCCGATCTGCGCATGCCCGCATGCAAGAACCGGCAAATCAATCAGCCAACCAACCAACCAACCAACCAATCAATCAATCACGAAACCCGACGCAGAGCGATTCGATCCAATCAATCCCAAGAGGGGGGAAGGGAGGGTACCGGCGTGGCCGAGCTGCGTGGCGTAGAATCGCTTGGCGACAGCCAGGCGCGAGATCAGCTGGCTGGAAGGAGCACGCATCCGGCCTGGGAGCTCGCTCCTTCCTTCCCAGGATGAACAGGGTCAGTGGATGGGAGCGTGAGGGGGAGGAGGAGCTGCTCGATCTGGGTAGGGAGAGAAGGAGAGAGGAGAGGGAGTTCGCCGGTGGGGGCGGCGGCGGCGAGGCAGTCCACCGGAGGGAGGTGGCCGACACGGGCAGGAATGGAGATGGAGGCCGGGGCGGGAGGACGCAGGCAGGATTGGATTTGGGAGGGAGAAGGGGGTAGCGGCGGCTGGAGTGGGAGGGGAGTTAGGGTTTGGGTGGTTGGGCTGTGGGTAGGACGAGGGGTGAGAAGGTGCGTGGGTGTGGGCCGTTGGATCTGGGAGTATCCGACGATCTGTGACGCTTGATCCGCGTGACATGCCAATAGACCAATCAGAACGAAGTATAGACTTTGATGATGTTATGTCCTTCTAAATTGGTAGTAATTGATTAACAATAGGTAGATACTACCAGTCAGCCAGATGATTTTTCCTAGAAATCATTCGCCTGGGTAGCCGCCCGATCTGTCCATTGGTGGTCCTTCAATCACATCAATATGTCACGACAGCACCGAGCGTGAAAAAGCTTCAACGCAGCACCGATGACATCCCCATGAAGCTCCATTGCATCTCTTGACGGTGCTTCAAGAGTTCCAACGCAGCACCACGGCGCCCGATGAAGCTCCGTTGCAGTGTCGGGGAGATCCAATGCAGCACCACGACAATCGGCGGTAAGTTTCCTTCTCTTTTTTTGACAATGTTTGTTAAGGTTCCTCATAAGTAGTAGTATTGTTCCCTCGAATAACAGAAAATACATTTTCCATTTTTCGAGTGCCCAAAATGATTTTTTTGTGAGTGACCTTCCATATATTTGTTTCAAATTTGAACCAAATCATTTTTCTAAAATACTAGGCCATATTTAATGCACAATTGACCAAATGGTTGGGTGTAAAAAGTTTTGATCCACCTCTGGTGAAAAAGACAAATTCCCGCCGATTCAGCTCGAAGCGGGTCAAATTTGAACTGTAGCTGCCTCAGTTTGCTATTTATTTTTTCCAAAAATCATTTCTAGGTACATAAGTATCTATTTAATCAGAGAAACATCAAAAAAATTCCAAGATTCAACCACTAGCTAGGAACGGTCAAGCCCGCCATTTTGACCGCATTTTGAAACGGGCATAAAAAATTCAAAAAAAAATCAAAAAATTGGAAAACGTTCGCATTGTGTCACTATATGTGACCAAGTTTCCAGGAAAAATAATAAACTTGTAATACGGAAATTATTTTTAAAATGTGTTCTCAGAAATGAGCTATCATGTATGGAGATCAATGGCTTTCAAGCCAAATGATCAATCTTATGGCCACATTCATGGCATAGTTTGTTCAAATGATCTCATATTGTGCACAAGGGTGCATATTGGAATGGCAAACAATGTTGCCTAAGGATGTTTTCATTTTCTTTGTACGAAAAAACTATTTTTCATTTTTCGAGTGCCCAAAAGGAGGTTTTTTTGTGAAGGACCTCCCAAATAATTGTTGCAAAATTGACCAAATGGTTGGGTGCAAAAAGTATTGATCCACCTCTCGTGAAAAAGACAAATTTCCGCCGATTCAGCTGGAAGCGGGTCAAATTTGAACTGCAGCTGCCTCATAGTTTGCTATTTATTTTTTCCAAAAATCATTTCTAGGTACATAAGTATCTTTTTAATCAGAGAAACACCAACAAAATTCCAAGATTCAACCACTAGCTAGGAACGGTCATTCCCGCCGTTTTGACCGCGGTTTGAAACGGGCATAAAAAATTCAAAAAGATCAAAAAATTGGGAAACCTTCGCATTGTGTCATCATATGTGGCCAAGTTCCTAGGAAAAATAACAAACTTGTAATACGGAAATTATTATAAAAAAGTGTTCTCAGAAACGAGCTATCATGTGTGGCTTTCAAGCCAAATGATCAATCTTATGGCCACATTCATGGCATAGTTTGTTCAAATGATCTCATATTGTGCACAAGAGTGCATATTGGAATGGCAAACAATGTTGTCTAAGGAAGTTTTCATTTTCGTTGGATGAAAAAACCATTTTCCATTTTTCGAGTGCCCAAAAGGAGGTTTTTTTGTGAAGGAACTACCAAATAATTGTTGCAAAATTGGACCAGATCATTTTTATAAAATACTATGCCATATTTAATGCACAATTGACAAAATGGTTGGGTGTAAAAATTTTTGATCCACCTCTCGTGAAAAAGACAAATTTCCGCCGATTCAGATGGAAGCGGGTCAAATTTGAACTGCAGCTGCCTCATAGTTTGGTATTTATTTTTTCCAAAAATCATTTCTAGTTACATAAGGACCTATTTAATCATAAATACATGTTTTGGTGGTGAAACGTCGAGGTTTGGGCGGTGGCCGAGGGCCCCAACTCAAGAGCGCGTAAACTCGCATGCCCGTCGCGTGGTCACCGCGTGACCGTAATGTTGCCATGTGTTCTGGGCAGCCTAGGCATGTCTAGTGGGTTGGGCACTCCCCAGGTTGGTGCTAGAAAGAAAATTACAACATAAGATTCTCACGAGGAGACCGATCGATGCTCAAACATGAATTAGCAGCCAAGTGTTTGATTAGCGGCACGGGAAATGCACATGGCCAATGGGCGTGAGTTTTGGATGAGGATGATCATCTACTAAGAATAATGTCTTCACAAATTTTTAGCTCAAAAGGAGGATCCTAGGTGGTACTTGCTTTGCAAAGTACCACGCTGAACAAAAATATGAATGTTGAAGCTGGGCTCAAAATAATGAATGGAGTGAGCTGAAATTTTGTGGAGGATGGTTATTTGGACATAGGAAAGCATTGTAGAAAATTGATACCATTTGGACATGGCAAAGTAGTACTTCCTTCACAATGCTCTTCTATGGACAGAAACTTGGGAAAACTAGTGAGAGCGATTAGATGAATGAAATGAGCTCAACATTGGTGTAGGTAAGTTACTTAGGTATGGTCATGCGCTGGTAAATTTTCAGATCATTTGGGTAAGCCTAGCTAGTACTTACTTCACAAAGCTTCTCTCGAGGTAGAAACTTTGGAAATTCCCCAAGAAAGATTTACTAGGAAAATTGAGCTGAATATTAGCATGTGGCAATGATTTGGGTATGGAAGAGTGCCCAAAAAGTTTGAGGGTAATAGGAGGGGTATATATAACACTTGCTTTGCAACGTGCCAATTTGGCCATAAAATATAAATTGAACCTGGGCTCACATAGATGATTTGACTGAGCTGCAATTTGGAGGAGGGTGATAATTTGGGCATATGAAGGAACTGTATAAATTTCATGTCATTTAGAGATATAAAAAAGGTACTTCACAATGCTTCTAGGTGGACAAAAACTTTGGAAATTTGCTGAGGAAGATTTGCTAGGCAAATGGAGCTGAATTTTGTCATGCGGTAATGATTTGGATAGGAAAGAGTGCCCAAAAATTCCGAGGGCAATCAAGAATATATAAATAGCACTTCCTTCATAAAGTGTTGTTGTGAATAGAATAGGAAAATGAATATTGTTGAATTAGTTTTGAACTAGGCAAGGAAGGATTTTTACATATTTGATGAAGATATGCCCCAAATAATTTATGAGATGTTTTTGGGAATTTTGGGAATGATAGAAATATAGGTTGCTTCACAACCTAGGGCAAAAACTGCCACATGGACATGACACATAGGCAAAACTGATGAGATGGTGCCTAGTCATCACAACCCACCACAATCTACAAGGCTATGACCATCTATATTGGTCATTAACAACTAGAAATAAGGCAGCGGACTAGCACTGTTTGCTTTGTGAGCATTTCGTGTAAGGAAATTACGACCTTTCTGACCAAAATGGTCGCAATGGTTTAGGGTTTGGAGCCCCCTGAACAGCTTTTGACCAATTGGTCTAAAATGGTCATAAATTTATGACCAATTCTTCAAGGGTCACTGACAGAAGGTCATAAGTTGACATATTTCTTGTAGTGTTAGCGTCTGCCCACGACATGTGCTCGGCAGACTTCAAGCGAAAGCCGACGTGGGTGTAGACCATGACCTGACTAACCGCACAAGTCTCTAGTCCAGGTTTATCGCCTATTCGGGTTCCATCTGCGAGGAGATCCGGCTGGAGTTTCGCTCACAGCCCCAAATGATGTGTGCAGGGTTCCCGAGACACCAAACGGGCGCCCGGTACACCGTGCCACGGTGTATCTACCGCATCATAGCCCACCCCTAGGGTCAGTGCTACGCACGGCCGCCAACACATAGCCTATAAACACCAGAAACTGGTTGCAAATCCTAGACAGAGGACGAGAGGGGTCAGTAAGTCGAGCGAGGTCATATTTCAGGGCCCAATGTGTGGTAGTAGCTGTTTCATGGATCACAAATACAGAACTCAGTTCCTAAGGACGGCTTCAATGAAATAACCCACCATGTACTCCTACATGGCCTCTCATCGATACCTTTACCAAAACATGTTCACACACTTAGCTCTCAACAGTAGGACATGTTCACACACCTGTGATTCATCCCCGATGAATCAGACCTGACACGACTCTCTGCAATAGCAGGCATGGCAAACAAGCATGAATGAGTAGGCACATCAGGGCTCAAACAACTCCTACTCATGCTAGTGGGTTTCATCTATTTACGGTGGCAATGACAGGTCATGCAGAGGATAAGGGGTTCAACTACCGCAGCAAGTAACAGATGAATTTTTGTTGTCCTAATGCAGTAAAAGAGAGCAGGAGCGAGAGAGTGGGATTGTATCGGAATGAGCAAGGGGGTTTTGCTTGCCTGGCACTTCTGAAGAGAGTATAGCTCTTCATCAGTGTCATTGAACTCATCGTCGAAACCATGTCTATCGAGAGGGGACAACTTCTGGCAACAAAGAAGGAAACACAATCAATGCAATGCGACAATATGATGCATGCTCATGACATGGCAATATGTTGTTGATTGAACTAATGCAACTAGCAACCAT